GGACATCCTTCAGGACCTATCCTTGACTTCCTTCCTGACTTCCTTGCAGACTTCCTGACTTGCTTCCGGACCTATCCTTAACTTCCTTCCGGACCTATCCTTGACTTCCTTCAAGACTTCCTGACTTCCTTCTGGACTATCCTTGACTTCCTTCCGGACTTCCTTCCTGACTTCTTTCTGAACGTCCTGACTTCCTTCTGGACTTATCCTTGACTTCCTTCTGGACTTCCTGACTTCCTTCAGGACCTATCCTTGACTTCCTTCCGGATTTCCTGACTTCCTTCCGGACCTATCCTTGACTTCCTTCCGAACCTATGCCTGACTTCCTTCCGGACCTATCCTTAACTTCCTTCCTTGACTTCCTGACTTCCTTCCGGATGTATCCTTGACTTCTTTCCGGACTATCCTTGACTTCCTTCCTGACTTCCTTCCGGACTTATCTTTTAATTCCTTCCAGACTTCCTGACTTCTTTACGGACTTCCTGATTCCTTCCGGACCTATCCCTGACTTCTTTCCTGATTCCTTCCGGACCTCTCCTTGACTTCCTTCCGGACTTCCTAACTTCCTTCCGAACTTCCTGATTCCTTCCGGACCTATCCTTGACTTCCTTCCTTGACTTCCTGACTTCCTTCAGGACCTATCCTTAACTTCCTTCAGGACCTATCCTTGACTTCCTTCCGGATTTCCTGACTTCCTTCCGGACCTATCCTTGACTTCCTTCTGAACCTATCCCTGACTTCCTTCCGGACCTATCCTTAACTTCCTTCCTTGACTTCCTGACTTCCTTCCGGACCTATCCTTGACTTCTTTCCGGACTATCCTTGACTTCCTTCCTGACTTCCTTCCGGACTTATCTTTTAATTCCTTCCAGACTTCCTGATTCCTTCCGGACCTATCCCTGACTTCCTTCCTGACTTCCTTCCGGACCTATCCTTGACTTCCTTCCAGACTTCCTGACTTCCTTCCGAACTTCCTGATTCCTTCCGGACCTATCCTTGACTTCCTTCCTTGACTTCCTGACTTCCTTCCGGACCTATCTTTGACTTCCTTCCGAACCTATCCTTGACTTCCTTCCGGACTTCTTGACTTCCTTCCGGACTTCCCTCCTCCCTCCCTTACCTCCTTACCTCTTCCCCTCCTTCCAGATGTTGGCAGCTGCTGACAGAGCCCGGAAACAGGCCGAGGCCCAGAGGGACGACCTGGCCGAGGAGCTGGCCTCCTGCTCTGGACGGTGGGTCCTTGTCCTGGTCCGGTCCTGGTCCTGGTCCTGGTCCTGGTCCTGGTCCTGGTCCTGGCCCAGGTCCGGTCCTTGTCCTGGTCCGGTCCTAGTCCTGGTACAGTCCTGGTCCTTGTTCTGGTCCTGGTCCTGGTCCGGTCATGGTCCTGGTCCGGTCCTGATCCGGTCTGGTCCTGGTCTGGTGTTGGTCCAGTCCTGGTCCGGTCCTTGTCCTGGTCCTGGTCTGGTGTTGGTCCAGTCCTGGTCCGGTCCTGGTCCTGGCCCTGGTCCGGTCCTTGTCCTGGTCCTGGTCCGGTCCTTGTCCAGTCCTGGTCCTGGTCCTGGTCCTGGCCCTGGTACAGTCCCGGTCCTGGTCCTGGTCCTGGTCTGGTGTTGGTCCAGTCCTGGTCCAGTCCTTGTCCTGGTCCTGGTCCGGTCCTGGTCCTGGTCCTGGTCCTGGTCCTGGCCCTGGCCCTGGTCATGGTCCTGGTCCTTGTCCTGGTCCTTGTCCGGTCCTGGCACTGTTCCTGATCCTGGTCCGGTCCTGGTCCTGGTCCTGGCCCTGGCCCTGGCCCTGGCCCTGGCCCTGGTCCTGGTCCTGGTCCTGGTCCTGGTCCTGGTTCAGGTTTTGGACTCCCCGTTCAGGTCCCTGGGGGCAGAGGAGCGTCGGCGGCTGGAGCTGAGGGCCGGGCGGCTGGAGGAGGAACTGGAGGAGGAGCAGGCGGCCATGGAGAACCTGAAGGAGCAGCTAAGGAGGAGCCAGCAGCAGGTGGGACCAGGACCAGGACCAGGACCAGGGCCAGGACCAGGACCAGGGCCAGGACCAGGACCAGGACCAGGGGGGGGACCAGGACCAGGGACAGGGACAGGACCAGGACCGGACAAGGACCAGGACAAGGACAAGGACCAGGACCGGGACCAGGACCAGGACCGGGACCAGGACCAGGACCAGGACCAGGACCAGGACCAGGGACACGACAAGGGTCAGGGGGGAACCAGGACCAGGGCCAGGACCTGGGGGAAACCCCAGAGACCAGAGGCTCCAGAGACTAGAGACCCCAGAGACCAGAGACCAGGGACCAGAGACCAGAGACCAGACCCAAGAGACCAGGGA